AAAATCCACAGGTACCTCCGTGATACTTCCCACAGTAAGAGCATATTCGGACCCGACAAGCACAAACAGGATGTTCTTTCTGGCCGCAACGCGCGCACATTACGTCCCTTTAGCAATACTTTCCTTTATGACCCAGCTTTCCGCACTTGTCACACTGAACATCTCTGTCGGGGTTCTCAGGCCGAGGCGAATACCATCCTGGACGAGGCTATTGCCATCCTGATCTAGATTCTGCTGGGGGACGATATCCGATGTCTTCCAGGACAAAATAAATTGTCTGGTGGAGGTCTTCTTCCGACGCCGAATTTTTCGACGTCTCTCCGGCGTCCCTCCATCCGAGGCATCTCTTACAGTCGCCTTGATGATTGATTTCTGGTATTTCATCTCGACTACGTCGTCTTCAAACTGGACGTGATCTTCATGATCACCAACAAATTCCTTCTCACTCAGTCCCACGTACGCACGGCAAGGTATACGGATGCCAGTCACCAGAGTCGACACTATCCTTCAGACAATTGCGTCTCCCACAAGACAAGTCTCCTCATCTCTGTCATCATCCAATAGACCACTAGCTGATGGAGTGGGATGTGGTGGACGTGCCGCGCGCGGAACCGGCCAACCAAGCAGAAGCGGGCGATGCCGCAGGGGATCCAAAAGGTGGCGGCGACGGCGGTGGCGATAGTGAAGCGGACTGCGTTGCAGCCTGTGGATGCTTCGCGGCCGTTTCCGATGTCGACATGGCCAAAGATACGCGTCCCAGCCGTGACTTACTACGACCCGGTGGCACCATGGATTTGCTCAGTTCCAGTCATCGAGCAGCTGCACGACGTTCGCGGCGAGTCTCCGCATCGGGTCTTCCTCGTGGAATGACAGATTACCCCGCTTCAGTTGAGCTGGGAATGGGAAGAGCAACTCGACCAACGATTCGCTCGGCATATGGATCAAGTAATGCAGTGGCGTGACGATCTGTGTCCAGGCGCCTTCGCCAATTACTACCAGAAGTATTTCGCGCGTCGTGACAAAGCTTCTCCTGCTGGTGGTTTCTTCATGGATGCGTTTCGTGCGGCGCCCTTTCATCTTGGTGACACTGGTCTTGCATCAACGGCTACTGACTATCTGTACGCCCTTGAATGCTGTTGGGCTTCTCGATCTCTCGTGTACGCCTTCTTGATCTTGGTGATCAACTCGCTCTCTGTGGCCACTTCACTGACCGCCAAACTGAAAGACGCATCATTGAAGGCTGTCACACGCAAGTCATGAATGTACTTCGTCTCCGGTTGCAAGTCTGGTCTTCTGCTAAGCGCGTCTGCGATCCCGTTCTTCGCACCTGGAAGGTATAAGAACGTTGGTTGGTACTCCGCGAGGATATCATACCAGCGCGCGAGACGTCGATTTGCCATTTTCTGAGTAAAGAGACCTTCAAGACTCTTGTGATCCGTCTCCACGAATGGTGGCTTGTCCAAGCAGTAAATCCGGAAAACTGCCAGCGCGTGAACAATTGCCAAAAGTTCTTGCTGCTGCGTCGGGTAATTGAGTTCTGCGGGTTTCATCTTCCTACTGGTGTAAGCAATGGGTAGCTCAACACCATCGACTACCTTGAACAGGACTCCTCCGACAGCAAATTTGCTAGCGTCCGTTAAAAAATGCTTAGGTTGATTGAAGTCGGCAGATGCAACACTGGTATATTGTACAACCGTTTCTTCAGTTCCTTGAAGTTCCTCGACTGCTCTTCGTCAAAACGAATCTTCGCATTGCGCTTGGACTTCTTCTTGAGCAAATTAAACGTACCTCCTGTCAGCTTCGCGTAGTCTGGGCAGAATCGTTGGACTTATCCAGTTAAGCCCAGGAAGCTGTGAAGATCTACTTGCGTCCTTGGAATCGACAAGTCATTGGTGGTCTGCACCTTATCTGGATCCATGCGCATACCTTTTCTTCTAACAGAATCTCGTCGGCGCAGAAAACGCACTCGGACAGCTTCACGTATAACTTGTTGTCTCTCTAGATGTCCAATGTTTTGCGAAGAGCTTCCAAGTGATATTTAATCTTCGGCGACTTCGAGAAGATGTAGATGTCATCGTAGAACGACTTCGTGTTCTCCAGATCGCGAAAAAGTATCGACGTCGACCGATGCACCGGCGCTGGCGCGTTACAGACACCCATTGGAAGCACCAGGTACTCCCAGAGTTCGTTGGGCCTGGAACGCTGTGAACGTGATGTCTTCTGCGCGCATACGAGCTTGATAATACGATGACATCAAGTCCATCGTCAAAAACCAGTATCTTCCGGCCATTACGTCCAGGATGTCTTCTTTTCTCGTCATCGGTATACTCTGTTGTATACGTATTGGAGTTCAAGTACAGATAATCGTTAACGATCCACCGTTTCTGGACGCAGAATGTTTGTGCGGCATGTGGGTTGATGCTTGGTCGAATCATTTTCATGTTTTCAACCAAGAGCAAGATCTCACGTTGTTGCTCAGGTGACTGCCGCCACTGTTGCGGATATATCGCAAGATTGGGATCTTTCACACCGATCCTGTGCTCGATTTCACGCTTTTCCGGAAGCCTTTAGGGAGTACAGATCAAAACACAGTGTCCTTGTACTTCGTCAGCAAGCCAAAGGCAGGATTATCCCGGAAACTTTCCCAATCGGTTTCCAGATAACGTTGATCTTTTGTTGTTCCGACATTGTTGGGTTGGTCGCGCAGCCCCAAGGATCGAGCGACTTGATTGTTTCGTTCGTCAGAACCAACATGAAGTCTGGCTCCTCGATCGACTTGGTCTTGATTCTCAGGAATTTTGGCAGTTTCTTTCTCGTGATGAAATTGCTCTGCACACCCAGCGTCATATGTGATTCCCATCGGGAACATCTTCTCCACGGCGGACTCTCATCCCCTGGTATCGCTGCTCCCAGCAGCACCATCGCGTCCCGACAAATTCCTCTCGTCTTCGCCTGCTGAACGCTTGACAGCGGACGCGTCTTCCAGTTGCTTGCAAACAACTCGCGGGGTCTCGCTCTGCTCTGAGTCGTGGATGGGGTTGACCGCGGACTTCATATCCGTTTCCAGCGCGGCCCCTCGACAGAAATCGGGTCTTTTCGCCGATAGGATTCGCCTCGACAGATCTTCGAAGCCAGGAGGCAATCACCGATCCGCCTTCCTCGATTGGCCCACAGGTTTCACCCGCTCGTTCCCAGCGCAAAGTTATCTCTCTTGTTCCTCCGACTCGTCAACCTCTCCAGTCGATCTGCGGTTGCATTTCCTCGAAGAATGGTATTCCAAGAATGCAGTCAAATTCTTCAGGTATCACGTAGACAACTGCGACGCATTCCAGAGACCATGATACTTAGAGGTAGTACCTATAGCTGGGGCTCCACAATCTGGTTGTCTCCTAGCTTGACTCGAATGTTCTTGTCGCTGAACTTGTTGTCTTCAGCTAATGTCCTTCTACCCACCGCTTCGACACGTAGATCGTGATTGTACCAAAGTCTAGTAGCATCTTTGATGTTTTCTTCATCTTGTCATCCACACTGATATCACCGCTGATGGCGAATAGTGCTCGTGACGTGTAGACTTGAGGTTTTCACTCAGAACATTGCGGCTGACATTATCAAACTTAACTGCTCCAGTTACTTTCTCTTCCATGACAGGACCATCTTCATGACGTGGCTTCTCGTTTCCCTGCTTCCCTTGCTCCTGCCACGCAAAGCAGTTGGCCTTGTTGTGGCCAGGCTTGTTGCAGAAGTGGCAGGTACGAGTCTCCTTGCTTTTTGTATTCGAGCTCGGTTTGAACCGTCCCTTTCCTCGGAAGGATTTCCGCTTGGACGTTTCTCGTTGTCTTGACCTTATTTTCTAAGCTGCCAAGCGAAGGCGGCATCGATAAAATTATCCTTTAGTAACTTTAATACCATCTATTTTCATCATCACGAAATGCGCAACGTGTGCTTGCCAGGGACATGGTCGGCAATATTCATACAGAGTAACGGTTCCCTGTAGTTTGTGTCCGTAGCACACGATAGCGACTCATAATATAAGCTACGAGCTAAAGGGAAAACTATTAATATTTTTTATTTTTAATGCGACCTAATCTGCTATCTAAATGATTCACTTTTGGAGTTTGACGGGTAAACCTGCACTACTAGCAGGTCTGCAATAAGAGCAGAGCTGTGAATACGGTAGACATAAGTATATTCGAGACATAATGACTGAGAGGCCCAGATTCAATACCAAATACAATAACTGTATTAGTACCATAATGGAGACGTAACTTGATCATATTATCTATAGCGCTTTTAGCTTTAGTCACAGCAAGGGCTACGATATTAACCGCGCTACTTCTCCGAAAAATCATTGTTCGTATGGACTCGAAAAACCATTGCTCGTATGGACTCGAGCCCCTGACTGATTTCGTAACAACATTAAATGTATCGATATTTTTATAATAATAACATTTTCGTGGTCAATGGGGGCATGTTGCCCCCCCCCCCCTCCCCCTTTGAGGGTGTATCCTCGAGTACCACTCGTGGCACCCAAGAAAGGGGGGCAAAATGCCCCCTTTCATTAAATTTTGTGTGTGGACGAGGCAGAATCGCCCTTTCTATTTGAACTACAATGATTTGCAGAAGATTTTCTGTAGTACCGTAGTTAATGAAAGGGGGCAAAATGTCCCATTTGACGGCCTAATGACTTGGTCATCTATAGTATAATATAGCCAGGTCAAAAGTGTCCGTTCATGTAAGGGATAATAACACTCTAAAATAATTAGAATACAAGTTTTGTTTACAAATAGCTGTGGTAGTGAACTGAGAGTGGATGCGATGAGTTATAAATAATTACGATGAGGTCCTCTGTACATCGTTAAATGGTAAACGCACTCAAACCCACTGTAAACTTGGACACTTAATCTGATGGACATTTTACCTGAAGCAGAATGATTGAGACAGATAGACTTGACCATATCGGTAATTGAACACAAAGTCACTTTGCCAAAACACGTGCGTGTAAGCCGCTGTTAACATAGCTGTTGGGGATAGTTATGCATCAATTATGCGGCTTGAAATAACAATACTAATAGAAAACCAGTTATTTTGTTTCTTTTTGTTGTTTTGTTTTTGGACCGTTCTTAAAAAAAACTGAGGAAACACTCCAGACTGCACATTGCACGATCATGAATTAGCGAATATAAAAACAAGAACGATTTTAGAGTCACTCTATGGTTGTGTGGCTTCGAACTTAGTGTATATTGGCACCACATATCCGGCACTCTGATCGAGGGTGCCGATGATGCTCAGGCGTATTTTATTCAAATACATTACCGCGTCAAATTCAGAAACGTTACTATCTTAAGTCTCCGATGTATGGGTAGTGGAGGGCTTTTGAGCGTTTGTGCAATGTGCGTGTTGTGCGAATGTAAGGTATCATGGATATTATGTTGTATGAACGTAAAATTATGCATTTCGAGTCTGAACATTGTTTTAAGTGGACGCTCGGGTGCTGAGTTCAAAATCAACGACATGGCACCATGATTTCCCTGACAGCGAAGCTGACATCTGATTGTCGAGCACATTCGAAGATGCTGTGTATGTCGTCTCTGGGCCTTCGAGCTGATTCTAGCTATCCATACGCAGCTGGAGTCGTAAATTCCCTTCTTGAGGCAATTATAATGGTGCCCTTTAGTGTCCAATGCGAAGAAGTATATAGTTGATTCATGCTAGTTCAAAACAAAACTACCAGATTGCAGCCTAAAAATGCAGCGAATCTATTAAATATCGTAATCCAGTGAACCCGAACGAATAATACCCATTCAAATGTATTCCAATTTTAGTATTTAATAATTAATTTGAGCACACCCAATTTATATCGCACTAAAACCAAATTTCTTGTTTTTTTTTTGTTTTTTTTTAGGTTGCTGTGGAGCCATTCGTTTGCTTTTTACCGTCTAGTAGTAGCCCTGCATTTCCAGACTCCAACCTTCCCCCGTCTACTCAACCAACACCACGTCCTCGCTCAACCATGGCTCTCAGCAACAAGCAAGTCTGTGCTCTGCTCTTTTCGAAGGGTACTGACAGCACCTTTAGTTGCAACACGTGCGCTAAAGTCTACAAAAAGGGCAACGGCTACACCAACCTACTCAACCATCTGATACCCGGCAATGAAGGCACGACTGGCTGCCAACGCAGCCATCGTCAACTATCCAAACTTAGAATCTGGCCTCGTTAAGTTGCAGCGGGGAGAGGCGTTGACGGCTGCTGAAAAGGTGGCGTGCTCTCAATTTAGACTGCGTGATGCAGACAAAGCAGGAGATACTGTGGAAGAGCAACGTGACTCAATTGTGAAAGAGGCATTCAAGCGGTGCAAGGTGGCCAAGCGTGCGGCATACGAGGATGTTGCTTTCATCCCACCAACCTCCAACGAGTGCGAGCGCTTTTCTCGTCCGTGAAACTCGTCTACACAGACCTGAGGAAAAGGATGGAGCCGGAAAAGCTCGAAAAGGTAATGTGCTTGCTTTACAACAAGGAGCTTTGGGACGTCCAGGTAGTTGATGATGTGCGCCGCAGTAATGCTAATTAATGCAATAATTCATTTTTTGCTGCCGCAGCTAGAGGTTAATCCATGAATTGCATTATCGGGAACACTGTCGTAATCTGATGAACCGCAGTAGAGCCTTGGACTGGTTTGTGGGTAATGGGATTCGTCGAACAGCGCATTCAAAGAACAGCAACACAAGTGGACCACAGTTCACACAATCCGTTTGCATTAGGTGAGTTTCATGTTAGATCTTCAACGTGGCGGGCTCGATCTGAAACACTATTTCTCACACTCTCTATTTGTTTGCTTTCTCTGCTGGGGTAGAATAAGGTGATGCGGTTGGGTATCAGAGTATATTTAGTAGTTATGTAGCGTCCTACAACATGCAGATCTAGCAGGAGGGAACGCGCGGTGACGTGCTCCCCTCACTCGTACATTTTCCCTGCCTTTCGCGAGACGACGAAAGAAGAAGAAGAACAAGAAATTAGTTGTGTTTAAACTCTGTTTCTTTGGTTCTTAGCGTTACTACCGTACTGTGCCTACCTACACGAGTCCTTCTAAAATCAATCCGTTGCCTGCCCGACCCCGTCAGGAGAAGGTGTACCACACACGCTCGACATGGAGACCGTGTGTGTATAAAATGAGAGATTCAAAGCTTTGGGTGTGTGATTTAGGACAGAATAGAATGGGAGGAAGATTTTTTTTAGAGCTTTCTGCAAAGTTCGAATTTAGAGAGTTTTATATTCAAGTGCTAACTATTTTTCCTTTCACGATCTCGTTGTGTGACTGTATCCACTCCCTAAAACCAATGAAGGGTTGTTGATACGTGTGATATTAGGGCGCGAGACTATCACTAAATATTCGCAAAAATAAAAGTGTGTAGTACAACGAATGAGAGAAAAATTCAACGTGTTGGTATAGTTATACGCTGGAGGCTCTGATATGACATTGCACATTATATATATGGATTGCACAGATCAGTTTGAAGGTTTAGACTATATTAATATCAATTTACTTCAAAAAGTGATCAATAATTTGGTAATCAATAAACAAAATGTGGTTTAAAAAAGGGTACTATTCCGCCGAAAGCGAAGCGGACCTTAGCAAAGCGACCAAACATGAATTACCGCCACGTAACGGTGGCGCTCGGCTAGTACATCAGAAATCATCGGCATGTTGTACCTGTGCAACTTATATATTTAGAGACAAGTTTAGAAATTGCAGATGATATTTCCTTATGGCAGTGTTGAGTGGCTTCCGCTGTAATCAAGATTATATAACAAGAGTATCTGCATCATTTCCGCCCGACCGTTTTAAGATGCAGTGGCCATAGTGGTTTTCAAAACGAGGCTTACATCGCCATTTTGGCGAGATAATGACATTTAGATTTGTCGTGTTTGAGATAAGCACGAAATGTCCTGTTGGGAGCCATAATGATGATTTATGGGCTTCGCGAACACGCCTTTAAAGCTTGCAGAGTTAGTGTGAAAGGAAGTTATGGTTGACGCCGACTAAAACTCTTTCATATAACCCTGCAGTATTTATGCGGTCTTCTTGTCCTCGTCTTTCTTATCCTTGTTGAGCTCCGCCAAACGGGTCTGCTGGCTAATAGGTTTCGCTGGCTTGTTCAGTGGCTCGACGGCTGGTTCCTCTTGTACGTTAGTGGCATCGATGGCGGCACCGGCACCACTTTCAGGGTCACGAGCGAGGACGGAAGCCGGCTGGAATGCTTCAATCATGGCTGGTTGCTGGTAGACACCATCCAGAAAATCAAACGAATCATCCTTACGCTCCTCGTCGACGTCACAGCATTGGTCCAGTGGCAGGTTCTCAGCAGCACGCTTCAGATGGGATAAATCAACAGCATACCAATGGAATATAAGCGTTATGAGGGGTAGCAACGCAGTGAGCACGATCGGTCCGGTTCCAGCAGACTTTAACGATAGCAATCCAATCAGCGTGCACTGGGCAATAATCAGTGCACCGATCACGAACGAATACAGCGGTGGCCAAAATACCCCCATCGAGTTTGTTGTTGCCCAACGCGTGCTGTTGACGAAGAAGAAGCAACGCTTGTACGAAAGCTCGGATACCACGAAGAACATCGCGCCAAAGTACCCCACAAGTGGCGCAATGGGAGCAAACACCACAACGAACAAGAACACGAGATACTGCTGGGCCAGATTCATCGGAGCATCAAGGTCGGTCTGATAGTTGACGGGGCAAAGACCCATCCAGTCTCGAGGCTTCGGCAGCTTCGCATGCATTGGGGCCAGGAGGTGATAAGCAGCAGAGATGGCCATCGGTGATACACGCAGCAGGAATAGAGACATGTCCACACAAAACTGCGTGATGATGAACGTGATGAACATCATGGACTGGTTCGCAATCGTGTTGCCCAGGAAGAAGAACAGCATGCGTGGTTGGTCCAAGAAGAGCATAAACTCTGTAATGATGGACCCCGCGAGTGCCGACACGAAGAACATCTGGAACGCTTGGAAAAAGCACAACTTCGTAAAGCGACTGGCTTCAACCTCAGAAATGGACAAATATCCCTCTTGTGTCGACAGTAGCTTGAAAATCACATTTGCCAGACCGTTCATAGCTGAATAGACCAGCGGTGCCGTCTGCTGTAGAGCAATAAGTAGCCACGGATGCTTTTCTAGAAAGCCACCAAGCCACGGGAAGAGGTGCTGGAGTTCGTCAACGCTAGCCATGGAAGCGACAAAAGCCGTCGGCACAGTCCAGAAGCATCCAATCAATAGAGAAACTCCCATCGAAATGAGTTTCCACTTCGCTTTCAGCTTGTGCGGCAGACCAAAGTTCTTCCATTGGACGTCACGAATGTTGGGCGCTGGTAGAACGATCATTCGACGTGGATTCTCTACCTGAAGCAGTTGCTGAGCTGCCTGTGCAGATCGAATACTGCGAAAGCTCACAAAAGCGCAACTACGCATGACATTGGGCCGCTTGGGAACCGGTACACTGACGTGAAGCAACGGCAGAGTCTCTTCACCCCATCGACTATCGCCCATCGAACTCTTCGTCCTTCGCAGCTTCTCCGCCAGTTCACTTAAACCAGAAAAGCCCCGTGGTGCAGTAGTACCTGTCGAGCCGTACTCCTTGTTACTGGTGACTTCCTTGGCCTTCTCTGCTGACTGGCGCTGCAAAATCTCATCCCGGACGCGAACAATCTCGGCCTCCAGCTTCTCCATCTCTTCGGTGTAGTGATCGACGGCATCGACCTCCTTTCCGCCACCACAAAGTCCGAAGAAACGACGACCAATCAGTTCTTTCGGTCGCTTGATGATATCATGGTCTTGAGCCTTGGTCTTAGCCTCGCTCAGCTTGACATTCGCAGCATAAAGGTGGTATACGAGTTCCTGGCGCTTGTCCAGGAGTTCTTCCAGCTCCGCACACTCGACGCCAATGTAGACGGAGTGCACAGAGTTAGGGAACAGGAAATCCATATACGCCTGGAGCGTCTGTGGACGACGTTGTGACTGAGGGAGGTCAGAAATGACGACGCTGTACTGCTGCGGATGTTTGCGCATCAGGAACTCGTGACGACGCTTACGGTAGACTGTGTATTCATTCAGCAACAGTCGCATGACGTAGATGCTGATCATGTAGGCGACGAACACCGTGAAGAAGAGCCTCCAGTCGTCTTTACCCACGTTGGCAATCGTGAGTCTGTCTACTACATCCAGCTTCACTTTACCGTCCGAGGACAAGATATTTGTCGTGCCATTTCCAGTTTCTACTTGTTCGTCCAACATGATCATCATCATGGAAGTGATGGCAGCGACAGTATCATTAGCTCCTCCCCCTCGCGTAGGTAACAACTCGTTCATATGATGACGCTGTTTCTCCTGCTCCTCAAACACCGCCGCCGTGAAGAAATACATGGGGAAGAGAGCGAGCGAGCACACGACGCATAGTAGCGCTACCTTGCGCCCCATTTTCATGAAGCGTAACAGTACCCATGCGTCCAGGCCGCATTTTTCGGCCACTTGAGCCTCATCGATGCGCCACACGAAGGGCACCCAGCCTAGAAACTTGCGTTGCTTCGATTCAGGGAAGTCAGCGTGATTCTCGGGCGAGTACACATGTGGCACACGAGGGCGTAATGTTTCGTACAGCAAGACCAGCACCAGAAAGAGAGGGAAGTAGACGACTACGCTCGTTAGCAGCACGTTGGCAGCCGCCTGCGTCTTCACTTGCTCCGTATTAATGTGCATACCCATGGCGACTCTATCTTTGGGGCGCACAGCGTCTTGGCAAATGACAGACGTCGGCTATAAGATTTTTTGATTGGCATTGACACGCATAGTGAAACCAAGAATGTGGAGTGTAAATCAGGCCGGCATAATCAACCTGGTTATTGGCGGATAGAGCATTGGCGGCGAAGTATAACTTGAATGCGCACTCTTCCATTTTAAAAAAAATAGCAAGAAATAGTACTGATAATATCAGTACTATTCTGTAGTAGTTTTTTTGGTACTGCACTTCGAAGTAGACAGACTTTTGCTTACATGCAATTACGTTGCAGTGGAAAATGCTTCTTCGTCGTTGTTTCACTCGTAGACGTAACAGCAAGTTATTGTTTTGCCGTCTATGACCAAGGGCGACTGCGTCATGAACGAATAACCTGCCTATATGCTTGTGTTGTTTTCAGAAAAGGTTTCAACCTGTTATACTGTATAATCACCATTCTCAGAGTATAGCCCTCAACTGGTGCCGGATACTATAGCGATGATTTCTGTTCGTAGTCATTTCAAACTTGGATACACCACAGAGATCATGTTTCCGGTTGAGAACCTCGACCAGTTGTAAATGTTCAAACACCCTGAATTTCCCATTGTCGAGAGGTACTAACTACTACTACCTAGTCAGTATGTGTACCATAGATAGATAGTCCGGAACACCACTACCGGGGATTTCGTGAGACCCTGCTCCTCGTTTGTTTTGTTCGGATGAAATCATCTTGAGTGCGCGTTGTGGACTCCCCACCAACTCCGTGCTCTTTCACAACACGATAAGAACAAGTTCCAAGCTTACACTTCATTATCAATCGAAAGTTTCTCCGAGAGCTCTCCTTTCTTGTCCCCAGATCGGCTGCGCGGAAATATTGAGACCAGAATCACTTGCACAAGGCACAATATGCCACTGATGGCGTTCGGCACGAGCACGTAGTAGTCAGTTTGCATGATACCGTACGTCGTCCAGAGTGCGCCATTGACAAACCCCGAGATCGCCATGGGTGCCGCGATAATTTCTGAGTTCTTCGTCTTGATGACGTCGCCCATGAGCATGAGTGGAGAGCCAAACATGATAATCGCCATGACGTCAGCGAAATACCCTAGCACCTTGGCGATTGTATCATCATCTTGTGTGCCCAGGAAGCGGTAGAGCAGTAGCGCGATGATGAGTGCGAACACGCCACAAAAGAAGATCATATACCGTGTTCTCCGCTCCTTCTCGTAGAGGATGAAAGTGCCGGAGAAGATCACTCCAAGTACGGCGCCCAAGCAGTTAACGGCACCCACGGGGAAAAATGAGTGGTCTGCCATCGAGTAGATCACCCAGCCCATGGACTGCCCAAACATCATAGCCAGCGGGTAGAAGTTGACGCCAACCGTGCTCTGTTTCTTGTGTACAGTGTACATTCCTGGAATCATGCTGATGAAAATGCATGCCGTTGCGATGGTTGCGAGGACATTGATCGTTGTTTCGGCGGTATCGGAAGCCATCTCGAAAGTAAGGGAGCAGGTGTGTGCGGATGATGTTGCAGATTCGTGAATGCAATTGCTCGAACAAAGCTATTCGGGTATGCCACTAGTACGCGTGGCTTGAAGATGAAAGCAGCGTGTGCAAAAGATAAATACATGTACCGCGGGTTTTCATCAGATTTGAAGTTCAAATTGAACGGAATGAAAACTGAATAGAAAGGTAGTCGCTTCACAATAACCACCAATTGATTGCGCTCGGTAGAAAAGCAAAGATCCCAAAAATGAAATTTAACAGGCCCAGAGGATTCATACTAGACTGGCTGCTGGAAATTTGCTCTGCTCACGCTTGAAGCCTCACTTCTTGATCATTGAGCTCCAGTAAATTCATGCCTCGGTTCGATTGAGACACTAGGAAAAAGGCTACCCTCCACGTGGTACCTTTACACAAACGTGCCGATAGTATTGGATTCCAATTTGGAGCGGACGGCACGGATACATTGAAGTGGTAAGATTTGCCACCTGTACTCATGCTGGTTATTTAGCAGAGCTAAACTCAGATTACTGACACTTCCTTACTGTACATGCTGCTCTAATGCATACTGTGGAGTATCTACATGTACCGTGTGTATGCACATACCCCCAAAAAAATAATGTTTCAGTGAACAGCGAAGTCGCATCAATTCGCTACCTACCCACAGAATTTTTCTTCAAAGTTAAGTACTAAAAGATTTAATGGCGCTGCTACGCTTACGCGTATTCCTCTGTTTATGCGTTCACTTACTTGTACCTGGATGTATGTTTTTGCAAGTGCATAAGCACCAATGATGTGGTAAGCAACCAAACCGTACAGTGCCCCAACCTGCACAACTGTATAACTTCGAAGTACAATTATTCTGGGTACAACAAATGACGTGGTGATCAAACCGATGCGATCGCATTAACAAGGAAAGCTTGAGCTGATGGGAATAATACTAAGAATAAGGTACACCAAAAAATACCAATAATATTGTTAGAGTTACTTCGACCACCCACAGAAAACTTGGACTTCAAACGTCTCTGCTGCTTTGTTGAGGAATGATAGCATATTGAGATTAATGTGCTTATGCGCACTCCTTCGTTTATGCGTTCACCTCGCATCATTTTTTATAAGATTATACCTACCCACACTTCCAAGATATTCCTCTTTGCATAATCGTATCTGTTTATGCATTTTCATAATTCCAGTATTGGTTCTTACTTAAATGAAGTATACACATACTGCATACACATCATTTTCAAACTGTGGCGTGTTTAGCTTCAACCACGCACAATTCGTTCGCTTTCACCACTTCAACATCTTTCACGCTCTTGCTCTCCTCCCATTTTCAGTTTTGCCATTTAGGACGAACAACCTCAAGCCCACTCCAATCATGTCATCCATCGCTGGAACTCGTGTAGCCCTCATCGGCGCTGGAGCCGTTAACTTCGGTGGCGCCGAAGGCCCCTGGGATCACGCCTCGCGTCTTGAGAAGCTTGGGGCCGTGATTGTTGCTGTAGTCGACCCCCTCGTCGCCAAGGCCAAAGAAAAAATTGCCGAACGTCGAGCCAACAAGGAGTTCACCCACTTGTGGGCCAACACGGAGGTGTACGCCGACATCCAAGACATGTTGGACACTGTCAAGCCTACGGCTGTTTTCATCGGTGTGCCGCCCTCGTTCCACGGCTGCTATAAGCACCCGCTGGAGCTGCAGGTCCTACGTGCCGGTGCGCACCTGTTCCTGGAAAAGCCGCTATCGAATGCACCAGTGGACGAGGTGACAAAGTACGCGGCTGAAGTAGAGGCGCTGCGCAAAGAGAAGAAGCTGGTGGTGTCCGTGGGTTACATGTTCCGCTACTCGCTGTTCGGCGAGAAGATCAAGGAGCTACTCAAGGGCAAGAAACCAGTGTGCCTCATGGCTCGCTACAACTGCACGTACGCGAACATCCCGAGCCCGTTCTGGTGGAACTCGGAGCACTGTGGTGGCCCCATCGTCGAGCAGGCTACGCACTTTGCCGATATCTCGCGATACCTCGTGGGTGAGGTGGACATGGACACAGTCTACAGTCGCAGCGTGAAGGCCAGCCTCACTCCGGGTGATATCGGCTACTTGGAGAAGGTGCCTGTGGATGAGACCGTCGTGCCGCCGCAGAACCGTGTGCCTCGTGCTCATGTGGCCAACTGGTACTTCAAGAGCGGTGCGCTCGGCAACCTGGTGCACGGTGCTCTGCTGCAGGGCGAGGCGTACGATGCGTCGGTTGAGATCATGGCGGATGGGTTGCGCATCGGTGTGGTGAAGCCATACTCGGAGACGCCGACGCTCAAGGTGCTGCAGGGTGACAGCGACGAGGAAGTGACGTACGAGTTTTCCGGCGACGACATGTACCTGACGGAAGATCGCGAGTTCCTCAAGGCGGTTCACGGCGAGGGTGACGATATCCGCTGCCAGTACCAGGACGCTGTGAACACGTACGCGTTGACGTGCAAGATCCGTGACGTGGCGCTGGCCAACTAAACTACGACTGGGTAGATAGATGCTAGAGCTTTAAATGTGCTTGCTGTGACGAGTGTATTGCTCAATGAATGTGTCAACTCCAGTTCTGTTAAATAGTAGGCGCCGTTCGTTGAAACGCTCTTTGTCAATCATTGGCACGCATTAACCTCTTTGCTAATCCCTCGAATCATATTGCTACAGAAGCACTAACGGTGACTTACGGAAACGCTTATCTCCAACGGCCAGACTCGGGAGCACGAGTAGTTTCGCGAGACGAACCATCACGGTCACCAGCACGAGGAGGGCGGTACGAACCTTCACGCTGCGAACGTCCGAAGAAACGATCATCGCCCTCACGGTCACCGCCACGACGCAAAGAGTCACGCTCACCATCGCGATCACCACCACGGCGGAAGGAATCGCGGTCGCCGTCACGGTCGCCGCCACGACGGAACGAGTCGCGGTTGCCCCAACGCGACCCGCTCTCCTCGCGATCGCCACCGAAAGCACGGCGCAGACCACCTTCACGCTCATCACGATCGCCACCGAAAGCACGACGCAGACCACCCTCACGCTCATCGCGATCCCCGCCAAATCCACGACGGGAGCTACCATCACGGTCGCCACCGAAGGCACGACGAAGACCGCCACCCTCGCGTCCATCGCGGTCGCCAAAGCTCTCGCGAGCAGCAGGTCCACGACGCTCCCAGCGGCCTTCAGGGGCCGCTGTTTGCGCACGGCTGGACAGACCACCACGGTTAACATGAGTCCACTCTCCATCGTCGCGATGGTCGTCATCGCGGCCGCGGTAGGAATCACGGTAGCTGCCGGACAGCCCACGAGCGCCAGCGCTGCCGAAGCGGCCCTGGCTGCGTTGCTCGACGCGCTTCTCCTCCTCCTCACGCTCGCGTTGGATTCTCTCCTCACGCTCCTTCTCTTCAGCGATACGACGCTCCTCAGCCTCTTCCTCTTCCTGGCGACGGAGCTCCTCCTCCACCTGAATCTGGCGTTGGCGTTCACGCTCAGCTTCCTCCTCGCGCCGGATGCGTTCCTTCTCCTCTTCCTCTTCACGCAGGCGACGCTGCTCCTCCTCATAACGTTCCTTGGCGTGAGCCACACGGGCACTCAGGCGTTCCAGCATCGCCTTCTTCTTCTGCTCCTCGGAAGCCTTCTTGTACTCCTCGATACGACGAGCCTTGTGCGCCTTAACGAAGTCGGCACTAACCTGAATAGCCGGTGCGAGACGGGCCTTCTCCTTGAGACCGTGCTCGTGCTCCTCCTTAGCACGCTTGAGCTTGGCGGCCGACTCCTCTTCGTAACGCTTGAGAGCCTCAGCCTTGGCCTCCGCAAACTGGCGCTGCAGAATCGGCTGCTCCTCCTCACGGGTAGCACGCACAATGTAGTCCAGACGACGAGCGTTCTCACGCAGCTTCTGCTGGGCAAGCTCCTTGGCCTTGCGAGCCTTCTCCTTGGCCTCGTTCAGCACCTTCTCCTTGTCGATAGTAGCGAGATCCAAGTCGCTCACATCGGTGTGGCCCAACTTGTCCAGCATCTGGCGAGTCTCCTTGAGCTTGATCTCATCCTGAATCTTCTGCTTCTTCTCCGCCTCGCGGCGACGAGCTTCCTGGGCCAAACGCTCGCGTTCAAGCTCAGCGCGACGCTGAGCGAACTCCTGGCGCTTCTTCTCGAGCGATTGCAGCTTCTCCTGCTGCAACTTCTCCAGTTCTTCCTTCTTACGCTCGATAATCTCACGGCGAGCCAGCATCTCCGAGCGCTGTGTATGCAGACGAGCACGAGTAGCCGCAAGGAGCTTCTTCTTCTGCTCGTCACGAGCTGCGATAGCGGTGGAGGCGGTGACAGGAATCTTGCTCATAGCACGGGACAGACGCTCCCCCAGAAGCGTCAGCTGAGCAGCATTGGCCTCAAGATCCACGGCGTCAGTAAAGCGAATGCACTGCTCCACGTGGTCAATGCGGATCTTGGTACGCGTCTGAGCAGACGCCACAGCATCAGCCGAAGACGTCTCGGCGTTGTTGCTGCCGTGCTGCGTGACATTGCGGCGGTACATACTGGACAGGCTAGGAGCACTGGTGTGGGCGACCGTGCTCAGACTGCGTGAGCGAGCAATGAGCGTCTCAATCTTCTCGTACGATACATCAAGACCCTCGAAGATGGAGCGTAGGTGGGCGATCGTCACGCTGGCGTACACGCGGGTGAGCTGGAAAAGCACACGACGCACCACGAGACGCTCGACGCCATCGACGTAGGCCTTGGCTAGTGGTTCAGCACGAATCGTGGTCAGGAACGGTTCCAGCTGCTTCACAATCTGCAGAGGGTCCACTTCCTGCAGCTCCACGCGCTGGAAGATTTCACTGGCAGCAGTGGAAGCCTTGGGAAGGATACCGGCAGCCTCAATGTCCTCGAGCAGATTAGCACGCGTCGGCGTAGTAGCAAATCCCAACAGAGCAGCCATACGCGCATTCTTGTCACGAGCAGCAGCAGACAGCGAGCTCTCCGCCGTCTGAGCAGCGGAAGTCTCGTCGTCACCTAGAACGGACGAAGAAGCTTCAAAGTCCAGCAGCGGAATGGACAGCGCAGCGAGGACGACGCGAGTAGCCATCTCCTTCTGTTCCTCCTCAGAGACCAGCACGGGTAGCTCCTGTAGCGCCTGGAAGCCAGCAAGACCCTGGAGACCAGCAACACGCAGCGAGTACCACTTGTACAGCGCGTAGGCATGGAAGAGGTGGTTCTTGGACACCTGGAAGATCTGAGCCAGCTTCTCATAGTACGTGACCAGTAAGTCCACGCGCGGAGTCTGCTCCACCAGGTTCATGATGTTGTTGATGTCATCGATCGTACGGAAGGCTTCCGAGAAGAGCTCAAGGTCCGTAGCGACCTGGAGCTGACGGTAGCGCACTTCCAGCAGACGCTCGACGCTCTCAAGCGTGAATCCTTCCCAGCTGCGCATCTGACGGGTCGATTGGCTCGTGGGCGCAGCCGTGTGCTTCTGCAGGGCGCTCAGGTGATTGCGCATGATCTCACACACACGACGGAACTCGATCTTGCGCTGGTATTCAACACAGAAGTCGAAAGCCTGCATTGCCGTGGTCTTGTACAGCGGCTCGAGTTTCGAGTTGCTCTTGAGGATGTCCAGCACCGTGCGGTATGTCTCCCACATGAATCGGAGCCAGGGGACAACCACCTCACGGTCGGTGCGGTCGTTGGATCCCTCGAATGTCGTGGTGGACAGCATGACGTCCTCCGGCGTCTGGGCAGCGTCTAGATCCACCTTGGCGGCAGCCAGCAGGTTGAGCTCGTTGCTCTCCTTCTTAGCAGCTGCTAGCTTGCGCTCTGCCTGTGTGACGAAGTGCTTGATGATGGTCTCGAGCGACGCCGGGTTGTGCTGGATGCACAGGTTGCGGTACTGGTGCAGTCCGTCCTTGGCCACGCGGCCCATCTGCAGCTCCAGACAAATGTCCAGGTACAGGATCATGAGCTCCTCGTGGGTGGGCTGCCACGTGCGGTTCTTCTTGGCGATAAGCGCATCGTGAAGGATCTCGAGCGCCGAGTGCTTGGTACGCTTGAGCACTCCGGCGTCCACGTTGGGGATCGCCAGCAGCTCGCGGGCACGCTTTAGTGCGTTCTCCGGCTTGTGGAAGAAGTGCGACATGTTACTGTCTAATGTGTGTGTAGGAGAGCTGGAGCAGACACGAAGCAAGGAGGGGGTTAGTGGCGAAGTCCAGTACGGCGTGAAGACGGGAGGGGCAACGGGGACGTACTCGGAAAGGTTGAGCGAAGCTCTGTTTTACGACTGATCGGTGGCTGGCTGAGAGGCGTCAAACACAGGGACCTCTATTTGGAATATTGATGTGGTGCACATAGACGAAATCAGGTGTGAGCTCCAAATTGAAGCGTGCCAATGCTATCACTACACACCTCAGCCCAACGAGTCGTGACTGCATTTGGGAGATTGGAAGGTGAAGTCTGTTCTCCGCGGAGATTTTACATTCAATGCCATCGACATGTAGTTTGTTACCGACGATGTTTCAGGAGTGGAATGTTCTGGTAATATAAACTATCTTCGTCACGAGCACCAAGATTCATCAAATCATCCGAAAATAAATGAGCAGGTATACTGCACCTCGAGATGGTTTTGGATTGGAGAGTAAAGAACATCCAAAACAATCTAAAATGTTTTAAACACTTTTTGAAGTGTCTGAAATGTCTAAAAGTGTCTAAAAGCCAGTGCTTGTGGCGATCTTCCGCAATCTTACACTTCTCTCACTATAGTGCTGCCATGGCACCGGCAGACTGCCCTCGTGACGCGTCACTATGTGGGGCACAGCTTTCGGCATCACCACAAGCTACTCCACGGTCGGAAACAAGCGCCCGCGGACCACCCTCTGGGACGGCATTAAGGCGCTCACCACGCTACAGTCCATATCGAGCAGGTATGTCGTACACCAGCCCTTTTCAACCTTCTACACGACCGTCTGAAGCAACGAGGAGGGTGGAATTTTCACCTCAGCCTCCATCGTCGACACCTTCACGACCCCCGCGCTCTCCGGCCCTGGTCAGGCGACCTCAGCCGTCTCCGGTGAAAACTGGACGTCCACGGGACGAGATTTGGCAGCACTACGATGTGGAGCGTGAAAACGGAAAGAAGCACGGACGTTGCAAGTACTGTGGTATCCTAAAGAAAAATGGCAAGCCCAGTGGTAACCTACTAAACCACCTCATAAAGGGTAAACAGTGCCGTAATGTTCCTGCTCATGTGGTGGTCTCATTACGGCCAGCGACATCTGCAATGGCAACCCCGTCCCAAACTTCAGGAGCTGAAGCTGAACAGTCGACCGTACCAAACCAACTGACTCAAGACGCTTTTGAAATGGCGCTGGCTCGTGTATTTTATGTTTGTGCGCTGCCATTTATGCTTGCCGATGCGCCCATTTTTCGAGAGTTTCTAGCTATGGTGGCTCCTGACATGAAACCTCCTTCCCGTCATAAGCTCAGTGGCGTACTATTGAATCGAGTTCGTGATCAGATTCGTCGGGAGCACGTGGTCAAGTTGATTAACGAGCACCCGTACGTGTCAATCGTGACAGATGGATGGAGCGATGTGAACAGTTCGAGTATTATTAACTTTATGGTTGTTGCACCTGGAATGCCCTCTCTGTTCTGGTCGTCATGGTCGACGAGGTCAGAGCAGCATACAGCTTTGTACATAGCTGGAGAGATTGAAAACGTTATAGCGGATGTCGAACGTGAAACAACGGCCCAGGTCGTCTCGGTCGTTACCGACAATGCGAAAAATATGAGGAGCGCTACGGGTCGCATTCATACCAGGCGTCCTAACATCGTAAGTGGTGGATGTGCAGCCCACGTCCTAAATCTACTCATGCAGGATGTATGCCAGCATCCTGAAATTTGTACTATCCAGTCGAGAGCCGTGGCTGTTACCCGTTATGTGAAAGATCATCTTGCGTTACTGGATGAATTTAAACGACTCCAGCAAGAAATGCGCGATGTTGGGCTAAGTGCACGAAATCTCGTGCTTCCCGTACCGACACGATGGTATTCGGTGTTCTCCTGCTTGCGAAGTGTGCTAAATAGTCAAGATGTTCTCGAAAAACTATTTTTAAGTCCGGACTACGATGGTTTCCGTGACAGGTACCGAGGAACTGAGGCGGGCCGAAAAAAATTACGATACATGACCGCTCTGGCTCAGGACATCAACTTCTGGAATGGACTTAGAACTACTGTGCGCTTACTTGACCCAATTATTAAGGCTCTGCGAGAGCTTGAAGCAGATAATGTCTTCGTTTCGGGTGTCTACAAGTGGTTTAGATGGCTACGTTTTCATTCAGCCTACGGGGTGACAACACTGGAACAAGAAAGAGCTTCTTCGGCACCTAATAATTCTGGTGAAGGGGGGATTGAGCTGCTCAGTAACACGGTTGAACGTGTTATTGCCACTGCTTACACCGAGAATCCGTCCCACAGCACGATGCCAGAGGAAGAGAGGTTGGTTGCTGGAACTGATTACCAGAATGTCATTGCACCTCCACTCTCTGGGCTCCAATCTTTTTTTCGAGGTAAGATTAAGAAGCGCTGGGATTACGTCCACACAAACGCGATGGGTATTGCATTTATGCTTGACCCAGCCATGGATCTCGACGACTTTGTCGGCTTGGACGACGAGACAGTGGATGAACAAATTCGCAAAATGGCGAAGGATTGTAGGCTGCTCACACCAACACTTGGTATTCCAAAGCTCACGGCTGAGATTCTCAACTTCAAGAGCAAGAAACGATCTGGTGGAGAAGCACTCCGTGAGACGTATTCAGAGTCAAGCCCACTTGACTACTGGAACGCCAAAAGCAACAAAGAATTTCCTTTGCTCAAGAAAATAGCTGCAATTGTGTTCTCAATACCGACATCATCAGCTGCAAGCGAGCGCGCCTGGAGTATATTCGATCCCATTCATTCGAAGAGGAGAAACAGACTCTCCGTTGAAAAGGTCGAAATGCTTGCCTACATCTACATCAACCACGGTAGCATCAGCCACGATGCAATTGATCTTGCTCGCCATCAGTCTTGTCCAGAAAGCGTAGACAGCGAGTAAAATGTAAAGTTCATTTACATTTTACCTTCCTCTCGCATTCCTCTACGTCGGAGAACGCAGTCAATGTGCTTCTGCACATTTCACCGCTTGGAGCACGTCAAGCCCGGTGAGCGGTAAGAGGAGGAAGTTTGAGATTTCAAAGACGAGTCTATGTCGAACTCTTTCTGCTTTTCGTTGAACTCGACGCCCTCGTAGATGTACACGTCCATGGACGTCTAGTAGTTCCCCACCGTCACGGACACGTGCGTCTTGCGCTTGATGAGCACCGACATGAACTTGCCCACAGTCTCAATACCCTGTGACAGCGGGGTGACATCGACCAGCAGCAGTTGGTGGCGTCGTTGCTGATGCCATCCAGGGTGGCGCCCTGCACGGCGCACCGTAGGTGACTGCCTCGTCCCGGTTGGCTGACTTGAACAGCTCCTTGCCGCGGAACAGCGTGGACAGCATGAGGGAATACGTGTAAAACCTCCGACCCGC